CCCAAATTGGCTCGATTTCATGTTTTGAAAATGGTAGTTTCCCAAAATGGGGCGACCCCAATATAGACCCCAATATATTATAATCCTTATCATGGGGACCCCCAAAAAGATACCCCTAATTTTAGGAAATCTCCAAATATAAGTCAATGGCCAGATACTGGGGGGGTTGTCACAATGATGGTGTTCAGATGGCAATTTTGCAAACTATGGGGACCCCAATATAGACCACGAAGTACAATAATCCTTTTTATGGGGACCCCCCAAAGGTACCTCTAATTTTGGGAAAGTGCCGCATGTGTTCATATTCATAAGGTAGCCTCTACATCCCGTGCTACATTGAAATTGGCATCCAGAATGTGGACCCCACTATTGCGACAACCTCCCAAGAGTTCATAGTAAAAAACGCAAGAGTGATACTGATACTAGGGCCTGACTCACGTAGCATGGACCAAGATTGGCCAAGACTCGTTGTCTATTATGCACATAAGGAATGAACAAGTACAAGTGGTAATACATCCCAATAGGGACATGTCAGTTTCCTGCTATATCTTGCAACATGGCTATACCAAGAAGCCTCTTGCGGCTAAGTATTGTCTATGGCAACTATGTGTAATGGTCGGAGAATGTGCTTGTGCGGATAAAAGAGGCAGGAAGTCCTGGTGCCGGACAGTCTCGTCACAATAATTTTGAAATGATCTTGGGAAGTGTCACATGAGCTACAGTCTAAACTCCTTAGAAGGGGGGATTCTATAGGGGACTCTCTGTAATAGGGCTTATTCAGGGGGATGCTAGGAGTTTGGACTATAGCTCACACTGCAACAAGCATAGGAAACATCCGGAGTCAGAGGTCCGCTGCAGGCGCCACACCGCTTCCCAGCATTATTTAGCCCACAGAAGGCATGATGCCTTGCTCATGTTGTGGCTTCTGCCACGCCATTCCCTAAACCCCTAAACTCTAAATCCTAAACCCTGAATCCCTAAACCCAAAATCCCTAGACCCTAATCCCTTAAACCCAAAACCCTAAACCCAAATCCCTTAAACCCAGACCCCTAAACCCTTTTCTTCACCCTGAGCCGTTTCCACGAAGCGACCCGCTGGACCTCCTGAGTACCAGTATGAGGCCCGGGCCAGGACAGGAGCAAGGAAGGCGCATCAGCCCACATCCATGCGTATATATATATATGTATATACATATATCAAAGTGTATATATATATGTGTGTGTGTGCATGCATGCATGCATGCATGCATGCATGCATGTATGTATGTATGTATGTAGGTATGTATGTATGTATGTATGTATGTATGTATGTATGTTACAGTATAGTAGAGTATATCATAGTATAGTACAGTGTATTATACCCTACTATAGTGTATTGTAGTATAATATTGTATATTCTAGGAAGTTAGAGTATACTGTAGTATATGGTAGTATGATATCGTATATTGTAGCATATCACAGTATAGTATATTATAGTATACTATAGTCTATTAAAGTATATTATAGTATAATATAGTATATTGGTGACTATGGCTTTCTGGCAAACCCTTAGCCCTAAACCTTAAGTCTCGCACTGCGGCCTGAACCCATGGGCTCACGCAGCAGCTTCCGCCCCTGTGTTTGGTCAGGGCCCTTTTGATTAATCCTCGAGCGACTGTTAAAAGCAAACGGTATTTAGGGTTCAGCTGCAACCATGTGATGGCAGGCAGTATTATCTCAGTTGAGTACATATATACAACGTGCCTCACAAAGTACTAGCTGTAAACTTCGTCGTCTCCCAGCTCGAAGCATGTACAAGACGTCCCCAACATTCGTACCAATGGCATTTGTACCCGAACATTGGGGGCAGAAGGCCATTGTTTCAGGTATTTGGGCTAAGCCCTAAGTCCTAAACCCTAAATCTGAAACATGTGAATTCCGCAAAGAGGGTAGGGACCCCAGAGACAAGATTTTGCAGCAGCGGAGATCGGGAGCCACATGGTTTAGGGTTTAGATCTTCGGAGAGTTGTGGGATTAGGGTTGAGGGCATATAAGGGTTGTGGGTTCAGGGTTCAGGGTTTTAGGGCTTACAAGGGTTGCTGGTACATGGTTTAGAGTTTGGCACCCTTGCCCTGCCTAACATCGATAAACCCTGCAGTTGCACAAACGAGATACAATCATATTTTTCTATCGCAATTCCGGTCGCAGGCGCTCGCTGCGTATGACAATGCTGTCTCTTGCAGTGGCCACCCAAGGGAAACTTTCAGAGTTCGTGTTTTTTTGGATGAAAGAAGCTTTGTCAGCCTGCTTTTTCCCTTGGCTGCTAGCTCTTTGCGATGCCAAAGATAAGGTTCCTGCAGGAGACATGTTGTGGCATCCAGTTTCTCATCCTAAACCCTAAAACTTTAACACTAAACGCTAAATCCTTAACGCCACACCCTAAATCCTCTAGCCCTAAACACCAAGTCCTAAACCCTAAGCCCTAAGTCCTGAACCCTAACCCTGGAGGTAATCTAGACCTCACCAACTCCGGTGTCACACGTGCTCCTTAAAGGGGGTCCTCTAGAGGATTATATTATATAGGGGACTTCTATAGAGGTTATTAAGGGCAGCAGCCCAATTAGGGTGTACCCTGATGTGATGTAAGGAAAGAAGTATACACGTACATATGCACACCTCGGTGTGTGCGTGTGTGTTATTTAGGGTTTAGGGTTAAGGGATATATATATATATATGTATATATTTCCCATAAGTCTATACATGTTAGGCTCCCTGGGTACTGTTGCACACGGTTGGAGGGCTTGGGCAGCATAGAGTTCAGGACAGCTAAGTGACTCCGGCGATGGCTTTGCAAGCCATGTACAACGAACCAGTCGTGGGTCAGAAGCGCGCACTGAGCGACCAGTGTGACGGCTTTTTTCTTGGTCCGGTTTGTGGCTTGTTTCGCCGCAGGCCGGCCTTATCCCGGGACTGATGGCTATGTCTCAAGTGGGAGGTCCCCATAGGCATCTTCACCATGACTAGGGGCTAGGACCATTTACTAGCAGGATTCCGTGATTCCAAAGGAACTAGGGGTGTTGTTCGGATGCTTGAACTAAGTTTCCGAAATGGATATACAGCGAAAGCTGGAGTTTCCGTACAACCTTAGCTTGGTTTAAGTTCCTTAACAGCAACCGAGAAAATGGCTCCTACGCTTTGAGACGCTCCTTGATTGGTTCCAGGCTGCCTGGGGTTGCCCTGAGTTCCACAACTCGGACACTTGGCGACGCTTAGAAGCGGCCGAAGGGAATTAGAGGAGGCTGTGAGATACTCCCAATGCAGGCATGAAGTGGGTTAGGCCCCCACCCACTAGTAGTGGTATATTAGGAATATAGATAAGAGGCCCTAATATGTTTACTGTTGTCTCTTGTGTCACTAGTAGTGCGTTGGGGCCCAACCCAAGGCACAAAGTTTTGCGTCTCACCTATACCCCAGAAGGGCCCATGTAGCTGCATGGCGTTTCCTTGGACCCCAGAGAAGTTACATGGGAAACCCTTAAGGCCCTAAGTCTCTACTATACGCCTATACCCTGAGCCCGAAACCCTGAACACTAAACCCTACACCCTAAACCCGGAACCCTAAACCCTAAACCCTTTTCAGGGGGAATCTGGGGTTACAGTCCTATACTATATCACTACATGGACCCATTGGGCCAAGAAGCCGCTGAAGTTTTGAGGAGGTCCTGGGGTGCCCAGATACCTGGAGCTGGGATTGCCCAGTCGGAGCCTCTGAGTAACAATTTAGGGTTTAAGGGTTTTGGGGTTTAGGGTTCAGGGTTTAGGGTTTAGGGTTGAGGGGTATACCCCACATTCTATCTTATCTACGTACGGGAGACTATAAACCAAAACCCCCAAAAAGACTCCGGCAACACAGATTCTAACCATCCCATGCCTCGTTTGGACGAGGGCAGGTACCCAATTCCAGGTACATGGCTCCAAGGGCGCAGTATAACGAGTCCAGAAAGCGTTGCACCCGTGGACATGTTGGATTCTCAAGATTAATGGGGGCTGGCAGCTAATAGTGGTCTTAGGATGCTTTCGCGCATGCTTGTCTGAAGATACCTCCCCCAGTTCCGCTTCTTTTGTGGTTGCAGTTCTTCTATCAAACAGCTGCTGCGTGTAGTTTTGGGGTGAGGTACTGCGATTCTTCTCATGAGTCTGCAACTTGCTTCCTGTTGCACAGCTTTTGCCCAAAGACCATGGTTCTATGGCTTTCAACCCTTCTTGAGACTTCTAGGCTAGCTAATTTATTCAACCTTCATAACTGCACTATAGTCCAGCCTACCTGACGGCTTGGTAACATCTTCTTTTCGATGCCACAAACCCTGTGCATGCCTTATATAACCCTTTCAAGGGTCCCCTGGCATCTAACAGTACACGTCTGGTAGCATCCGCTTGGATCATGCTGGGGCTTCGGGCGCGGCGCGGCCAGCGCCTTTGGCTTGCAGAAACAAAGGGTCCAGGGTTTACGGTTTAGGGTTTAGTGGCTGGAAGACAGAAAGGGTCAAGGAGAGTAGTTTTTTTCCAGTGGTATTATAGTACCCAAGAGAGAGTAAGATTATATAGTCCCTTGGTTGTGGCATTTTCTAAGAGGTCGCACGCTTCAGGCCCTAGTACACACTTTTTAGCCACATGTACAAGTTGCCGAATTGTGGTGCTAAAGAATAATCAGTGCCTAGTTCAGGACTTCTTGTTGGCAAGGTGTCGGCAGTGCCATACCCTAATATGCTGACTATGCCATGGATATCTACACGGTCGCCTTCTAGTCGGGGTTGCAACTAGGGAACTTAGATCATGTTACCAGTAAACGGAAGGGTTCCCCATAATGGCAACTGAGCGTAAACTCCTTAACAGCAAGCTAGCAAAACTTGGCCTCCAAAACCCAATCGATCTACCAAACCCTAAACCCTGAACCCCGAACCTACTGTCTAAACCAAGCGAAAAGCTGCCCTCTACACCAATCTCGGGCCCATATCTTTTCAGGCTAGCTGGCTGGCTGCTGACAGCCAGCTTCCTGCTTTCCTCGGCAGCCCCTTTGCCAAAGCTGATGTCTATGATGTCTACAAATAAGCTATAGTCTAAACTTCCTAAGGGGGTTATATAGGGGATTATATAGGGGACCCCTCTATAATAGGGCTTATTAAGGGGATACTAGGAGTTTAGACTATAGCTCATGGTAGTTTGCATCCAGCTTGCATCCAATTCAGACCCTGGTATACTATCACATTGTAGTCTTAAAGGGGCCCTCATTCCAGGAATCCCCCAAATAATTCGAACTTTAGACCCCGTTGTCCATCAACATCACCTGCCCCCTCAGAACAAACGCGTCCATCCCTTGCCTTGGACCCTTCGCGTCCATTTGAGCTACGGACTAAATTTAGGTTGGGGGGCACCTTTTGGGGGACTATTTTCGGTTTTGGGGGGGACCTATTCGGGGATATACTGCACATTTTGTCCAAGGCTCATTTGATGCGAATCTGGTTTGTTATAGACCCACGGCCATCGGGACGAACTTATTTCCGTAAGCCGGACCCCTGTTTTGAGAAACCTGTGTATATGGTAGTTTCCCTAAATAGTGGGACCCCAATACAGACCCCAAGATACTATAATCCTTACTATAGGGACCCGCAAAAGGTAGCCCTAATTTTGGTAACACCCCATTTGGGCCTTCAACTTCAAGAAGCTGGGCAAGGCACCCTGTTGTTTTGATTTATCTTTGGGTCACTGTGACGTCCTCGTAAAGCCTCCATGAAGCAACATGGGAGTTGATTCAACCGATAATTCCTATACAATCTTGAAGAAGATCACGTGAAATCCTTTTACGCCCAGCACGCCCAGCAGACCCAGCGAATTCAAGGGACCAATGCCTATAGAAGGCCTGTTGCCATCGCACAGAAAGTTTGACATTTGCCGTCAAACTATCCACGACGATTTGACGGCAACCTCTCATGATTCTAGATGCTCTTAATGTTGCATTCTCTTTAATCATGACCCCCCCCCTCCCCCCTTAATAATAGGGCCCCCAGAAAATGGCAATCAGACGTCCTGAATAAGGGTCCCACGGTCCTGAGGGCCCCGGAGGCCTTTCAAAGGGATGGTCTGGATTCGGTCCTGTATTTTTAGGGCCCCAAAAACAAAACACATTCAAGAGGGGCTGCCAAACAATGGCCATGTCCTAAATCAGCGGCGGCGAAAACACATTAAAGAAGGGCTCTTCACAAAAGTGAGTGCAAGATTACCGAAGACTTATGTGAAAAAGCTTCACGTGTCGATCCATCACACGGTCATCCTTACTGTCATCCCAAAGTCGCCCTTGTTTAGGGTTTAGGGTTTAGGGTTTTGATTCTTGGAATCACCCAAATAATCCGTACTTTAGGCCCAAAAGCATCTCCTCCCCTTCTTAATATAAGCGCCGAGCCCCCCCCCATAATAAGTATTCCCCCAACATATACTGGCACTGTATTGCGGAGGTTGTCTTGGTAGAGTTGTATCATATACCAACTTTGGAGTACATACGATATAGCTGCTTGGACCCCGTGGGCAACACACGGATAGATTCCGAAACCTTAATGTGCCTTTGATGCCACGCGGAGTTTAACGAACAAAGTCCACCCGCCCGAAGTCTTTCCCAACTTGCACAACCCGGCCTCTTCACCAAAAGGTCCATGTAGCTTTACAGTTTTTACTAGGGCCCCAAAGTAGCGGCGCGGGAAGCCCTTTGGGCCTTTAGTATATACTTTATCGCTACAGGGACCCTTTGGGACAGGAGACTTCATTCTCAGGGGTCTGGTACCTGGTGAACGTCAACTCCGTGGTATGCCCTGGCTCACCAGGACTATGTGGGTGAGAGGGGTGACCATTTGGGCATTTATACCCTAAGGGTCCAAGTGCCTAATAGTCATATACTTACCCGAGAGCCGTATTTTCATTATTATTATCCAAATAATCCCAAGTACCTAACTACTGGGTACATGGACCCTCTGGGATAATGTCCAGTACAGGGTAGGCTAATGTTTTCCGGGTGCGGGACAGCTTTTCATGGAACAGGTTGTAGAGTTACGGCCAAGCCCGGAAGACATGATGACAGGCTACGCGGTCATCAACATGACTGAGCCCACCGACTCTCGGCCAAGGGATCTGTGCATCGCTGCCTGTCTAGGTAGTTGGTATCACTCCTGATGCCAAAACTTTCCTAGATGCCCCCAAACAACCTAGACCTTGGGAATTCTGTGCGTTTGTTATCAGTAGGGTTTCTAATGTTCTTAGTTGTAAGACTAGTCGCTTTATCATTGTTGTGCCTGCATCACCCCAGACGACGACCCCTGCACGAAGTTATTTTTGCTTTAGCTGCTCATGTTTCAGGGTAGATATTATATTATAGTAGTTTCCATTTTATTTTCCATTATCCCAATGTAACCCCAATATAATCCCTATATAACCCCTATAGGCCACTTGGGCAATTCAGGGAAACCTCCAGGTGGGTAGTTGTTATCGTTTGGATACTCTTCAAGGAGGCCGGGGTTTAGGGTTTAGGGTTTAGGGTTCATTGCCCCCATACGGGCCTTTCACTCATGCGAGCCTTTCATCAGCCAGAAATTGGGAACCCACCTAGTTACTGATGGCGTCCTCAAGGCGGGCAGACCCTAAACCCTAAACCCTTTAAACCCTAAACCCTAAATAAGATGTTGCAACTAGACTTGGAGGACGAAGCGCGAACGTTTTTAAAGCTCTAGGGCTCCTAGTGCTCGATATTTCTATGCCCTCCCCTCACCCAAACGGTCCTCAAGTTTAGGGTTAGGGGTTTAGGGTTTAGGGTTTAGAGGGTAATTACTTGGGCCCCATAGTCGGTATATGGGTTTAGGGCTTTTGGCTGGGAATCCGTTTCGGCTGAGTACATGCTATGTCCCTACATGGACTTAGGGGGAGGCGGTTACTATTTTGCCCTTAAACCCTGAGCGCTAAGCATTCTGCCCGAATTCCAACGCCTGGTCTCACAAGCGGAGGCAAAGACGCACAGCCCACACATCCTGACGGTCCCTGGGCTAGGGTTTAGGGTTAAGGCTTTTGGGTTTAGAGTTTAGGGTACTGGTGAGGAGCATTTTATGTCAAGTTACCATAAGATGGGTATATGGGATTTCGGTGTTAGGACCTAAGCTACCATAGCAATAAAGACAACAACCGGGTTTCCTTTGCTAAAAGTAACCCCAAACCAGAAGAAACGAACGAATGCATATATATATATGTATATATATATATATATCGCCTGTGCATAACCATGTTCATATTGGATTGAACGATAAGGTTTCCTGATAGTGTGGACCTACTGTGTGTTCCTTAAATCTGCATACATCCCCTACATACTCCCCCATCCCCATTTCCAATGACATTTGCCACATGATTTGTTTATTCCCAATACTTCCCGAGACCTTACATATCCATATATGTATATATAAAATGCCCATATATATATATGTATACATATGTGCACACTTGTATATCCCAGTTTTCCGTGTCATGTCTCACGTCCTTTCCCACCTCATTCTGCATCATTTAAGTGCCGGAACAGCGGCCAACCCTGAACTCCTGAGCCCCCAACCCTAAACCCTAAACTGCCCTAAACCCTATAGTCCGCCCTTACGTAGATAGAATATGGGGTGTATGGGGACCTTATTATAATATACCCAAAGCCATATTCTTAAGTGGGACACTAAGCCTAGACACCTGAACCGCGACCAGGTCTTCCGCACTACCAACGCCTCGGTAGGCCTGCACTTCCAGGTCACGGATGCTGCTCGGCTGCTTCACCAACAGGGGCACGGCAACCACAAAAGCTGTAGGGCTTAAGGGCAAGGGTAGTTTGTATTGAATAAACACGAAGTATAAACAACAGTATGGTTTGTAATAATCTCTTGGGAAGGAATCCGATTTTCGTTGGCGCAGGACCTGGTTTTAGAAGATTATAAAGCCAGGCTGTCGTCTGAATCTGGCCTGAGGGGTTTATTATTTAGGGTTTAGGGCTTGGAAGCTACTACTTACTTTGCTTTCTTATGAAGGCTTTAGATTTCCCAAGGGTTCGTGGGCTCAAGGTAGGTACCAATCTAGAAACCCTTTGAACTTCAAATGTCCCAGATTGTCGAGTATTTGGGTACTTGGACGCTGACAGCATTCCTTGACAATTGTAGGGTTTAGGGTTTAGGGAGTAGCTTTCAAGTTCTGTTCCATTCCCTGCGTATCTGCTGTGTTAGGTACTTCGACCCTTACTTTGCTGATTCTCTAAACCCAAAACTGTATGTGCACATATATATATATATTCATCCCGATAGGTAGGTACTTCGGCCCTTGATTTGCTGGTTCTCTAAACCCTAAACTAAATATATATATATATATGTCCCGACAGAATTGCATGTAAGCTATAGTCTACACTTCTTACCTGCTTACAGGGGGTTACATAGGGGGTTCTATACTAAGGGGGTATCCTAGGAGTTTAGACTATAGCTCATGTATCCCTGTGGAGCTACAAATAACCCCCTCTAGCCCCTTTAAGAACCCATATCCCTCAAACCCCATATCCCTATGTAGCCCCAGCAACAAGGCCAGAGGTAAGGTCATCACGGACCAGTCCGTTTCCTGGCAGAGTTTGGGGAGGGTTTAGGGTTTAGGTTCACCATATTAGGGTTTAGGGTTGCCCATATTAAGGTTTATACGGGTTTAGGGTTTACCATATTGGGGGTTATAGGGGTTTAGGGTACGTGCTTGCCCTAGGGATCCAAGTATATAACTGATGACGTCTACCTACCTGGACCCTTCTGGGAGGGCCAGGGTCAGCAAGGGGACATTCCACGTCAGTCTTGCCCTGGTTTGCAGGGAATGAAGGAATTTTGAAGAAAATGACAATGGTTGCATTATTAGGCAAAATATCTGGCCGTCACACCTCGAAATCTAAGCTTCGGGCTCAAAATTTGTTTCGGTGCAGCATTGCAATTGCACCGGC